GTCAAAAATGATATTTTCAGCTTCTCAGTGGGCGCGGCAGTGGGCGGTGATGCGCATTGCCGTGGCAGTTACTACTGCCGCGCACCTCCCGAGTATTTTGGCTCTAACTTCTTCATCCGATATCGGAATAAGGTGATCCAAGATGCATTAAAAAGATATACAACTTTTATTTTTTAAGCTTCTTTAGATTTGGATCATATCATGTCTTAAATGTGCGATACATTGTCGCGGCAGTCGCCGCTGACAAGCATCTCCGAGACCGTTCGCGCTGTCTCGGGTATTTTGGCTCTAACTTCCTTGTCCGATCTCGGAATGAGGTGATCCAAGATACGTTGGAAAACTAATGAAGAGATCTACAACCTCCCATAGCCACATCACTCTGTTTACTTGCGCGTCACTCTCCACTGCCTCGCCTATGCGCGTCAGTGTACACTGCTGCGCACATCTGAGGCAGTTTGCGTTGTCTCGAATATTTTGGCTCTAACTCCCTCGTCCGATCTCGAAATGAGGTGATCCAAGATGCGTTGGAAAGATAATGAAGAGATCTACAAACCTACCATAGGAACATCACTCTGTTTAGTTGCGCGTCACTCTCCACTGTCGCGCCTATGTGCGTCAGTGTACACTATCGCGCACCTCTGAGGCAGTTTGCGTTATCTCGAGTATTTTGGCTCTAACTTCCTCGTTCGATCTCGGAATGAGGTGATCCAAGATGTGTTGGAAATCTAGAGAAGAGATCTACAACTTTCCATAGGTGCACCACTCTGTTTGTGTGCGCAACACCTTCCGTTGCCGTGCCTATACGCGTCAATGTTCCTTGTCACGGGTGTTCATCGTGCCTATACGCGTCAATGTTCCTTGTCACGGGTGTTCATATTGTTCTTCTATGTTGTTTCACCTGTTCCTTTGCTTCTTTTGTGTTCCTTGTCACGGGTGTTCATATTGTTCTTCTATGTTGTTTCACCTGTTCCTTTGCTTCTTTTGGCTTGTGATGATCCTATATGACTTAGATAGTGACATTCATACCTACAAGTATTTTTAGACGCCTACATGGAGGACTTACGTGACAAGTTTGAAACTCTGAACGAATTGATAACTCAAAGCGAGTTTAAACTCTTACAAAAGAGTTGATTGATCTTAACCGTAATTGGTTAGACAAGCCAAGCACGAAGATAGCCCCAAGAATCTATTACCGAGAAGCTGATCCGAAGAAGCTGATCTCTAGATCTCCAAAATTCTTAAAGATCCAAAGATATCCCCCCCCCCTCCTCCAAAGATCAAAAGATCTCTTCTTTGCTGCCCAGCCGAAGGATCCGAACTAAGTTGATTTCTTAGTTATTTATAGGGGATTAAGGGGTGTAACCGTCTCCTTAATACGCTCCTAGGTGGGGCTTATGGGATGTAACCACCCCTTAAATCACTCCTGAGTGGAGTTGTGATCCCCTCAGATCGTGAAAAATAGTTTTGAAACCGTTCAGCTCGTGTTTGAATGAGTCAAACGCAAAATCCGCGTTCTGGCGTGAATTCTGCGTTCAAACGCAGTGTCTGGAAGCTTAAACGCAGCGTCTGGAAGCTCATTTGCAGCAATTGGAAGCTACGTTTGTAGCGATTTGGAAGCTGTGTTGGCAGGTTTCGGAGGGTGCATTTACGGTCGAACATGAGCTACTTTGGTAGCTGGATCTGAGCTGCGTTTGTAGCATTTGGAGCTGAATGTGAGTTGCGTTTGCACTGCATCAGCGGCTACGAATGCGGTGCGTCTTGATGCTGGTACACGGGGAGGACTTCCGCATCTTGATTTGAAGAGACCGTCGATTTATAGTCTCTTTCTGTCAAAGCGTTGCAAAGATCGTTATTTTATAATCTTTGCTTTAGCTCTTTAATATGTGAGAGTTGTCAAATTGTAACTCCCGATGTTGATTGTGAAGGCTGTTGATTAGAGCTTTCATCAGTTGTTGTGAAGATCGTCAGATTGTAACATTCATCGATCTCATGAAAGTCTTTAAATTATAGCCTTTTGAAAGCCGTCAAATTGTAACTTCCATCATCGGTATTTGATGGGGATCAGCTATCTGCAGTGATTTTTAGATAGCCTACAGATCCGTCATCATTTATTATGATAGCATGAGTGCTATTTATTTGGCAAAGAATCATGTTTTTCATGCGAAGACGAAGCATATCAACGTTCGTTATCACTTCGTTCGAGATGCTCTTGAAGATAGGGATGTGGAGCTCGTGAAGGTCTACACAAAGGACAATCCAGCGGATATGCTCACGAAGGTGGTCCCGAGTAACAAGTTTGATCATTGTATAAGCTTGTTACGGATTTGCGCTTGTTGAGGTCGTTCGCGGTCATTTTGATGAACTACGGGCGGCTTGATCCCTTAGGAGAGGGGGTACGTAGGCAACTACATTGGTGTAGTCAGATTTAGAAAGACGATGCATTGGTGCTCATGTTGGTGTCGGCTCAGTTTTGGGAACACTTCGCCGAGATGGATAATTGTTTAAAAAATTAGGTTTTCGGTGAACAGTGTCATCAGTCGACTGATGCCAAGATCAGTCGACTGAAGAAAAGCCCTGGAATTATGAAAAAGTTTTTGCGCAGTCTACTGATAGGTGATCAGTCAAATGATGAGCTCGCTCAGTCGATTGATAATCCTATCAGTCGACTAATGGAACCGTGAGCAGTTTTTTGTTCATGTTATCGGTTGACCGATGTTTCACATCAGTCGACCGATGTTGGGTTTCTTGGGTTGTTTTGGTTTCCTGTTCGGTTTTGGTTTGGTGTTTGATATAAATACAAACACGATTTCTAGGGTTGTGAGAGGAGAGTTTGTTGAGTCTTTTGAGCACTTTGAGAGGGAGATATTGTGTGGGAGTTGAGATCTTTGGTTAGGATTATATTTGAGAGTTTGTGTGAGTTGTAACCCGTTGTATTTCTCATCCATATAGTGAAATTTTATCATCCTCTCCCCGTGTACGTAGGCAATTGCTGAACCACGTAAATCTCTGTGTTTGTGTTGGATTCTAGTATTTATTTGGGAATTATACTCGTGTTTGGTTCTTCTCTCGTCGCTCATCGACTCGTTTGGTTTGCGAGCACGCTTCCGCATGGCGCACAACAAAAATACGGATGCTTTAATGGACTAGTATCTAAAACTCATGATGCACAACTACAAAATGTTTGTTTGTCATTCCACAAATCCAAAATTGCATAGCGTTCGCAAAGTAATAAAAGAGTGATGGATATACAAAATGATCATTAAGTGAGTGTATATGGCTTGAGATATGTTAAACATTGCCCCCCATCTAGCCCAAAGTGATGTCGTTTATATGCGATAAACTAAAAGCTTCAAATTTTACGGTGTAGATTCATGGGCAACAATCATGTTTCTAAGTAGGACAGGCTGATAAATGAGAATAAGGTGAAGAAATTCTTGAAACAATTTTGCGTCAAGTTGATCTCCATTGTTTCATAGTGGCTTGTTTCTTTGTCTTGATAAAGTTCAAGGATAACTGCTCTAACCATACGCTCCCTAAGCTCATTCTTTGATCGCTTCATAGCACATTCTAGGTTTTTCATTTTTAAAATCTTTTAAAAAGAAATTGACAATATTCAAAATAGAATGGTCAAAGGAAACTTTATTGATAACCGACCAACAATGGAGAGAGAGATCGCGAAAATATATAGTGATCTCAGTCCTTATAATTAGGACAAATTTTGAAAAACACCCATATTTAAAATTTAAATAGTAAAAACGATTGCTTATCAAATTAATTAGCAAAATCGACCCTTTTCAGATGAAAAGGGTCGGTTTTGCTAAGCGGTTGTCAAACTGGTTCTCCGGCGCCACCTTCGAGGGCTGCTTCCGCTCCGGCCGTGCGCAGGGCACGTGGAAGATGAACTTGCAGGACGTCCACGGTCACTACATCTAGAGGAATGGGAATCAGTACATTGGCGAGTGGAGGGGTGGGGTTATGTGTGGGAGGGGGTTTTTGATCTGGGCCAATGGGAATCGAATGGGTTCTGGGAGAATGGGGTGCCTAAGGGTAATGGGGGCTTCACTTGGCCTGATGGCAGTTGCTACATCCGCAACTGGAGCGAACGAAGAGAGTCTTATGGGGACCTTTTACCCCATGGTGAGCGCGGCGAAGAAGTCATCGTCGGTGGAGAAGCGGTGTGTGAGGGGGCAATGAAATGGACGGGACTGCTAGTCCCGTTCATTTTAGTTTGGCAACCGCTCAGTAAAATCGATCCTTTTCATCTGAAAAGGGTCGGTTTTGCTAATTAATTTGATAAGCGGTCGTTTTTACTATTTAAATTTTAAATATGGGTGTTTTTCAAAATTTGTCCTTATATTTATTAAGGAAAAGTGATGTATATTCTTATATCAGCGTACAAAGTTCAAACCGATTAGTAAAAGTCAGACATTCTTTAGGTACATCGTTACCACCATCGAACTTTTTGCCCCTTTGTTTGCAGAGAAACTGTACATCCAAAAGTTTTACCGTTGTAAAAAAACATCTAAACGAACTGAAATCCAATCAAACTTCCAATAGGAGTGAGTAATTAGCAACAAAGACAGAAGTAACTAGAATTCTTAATCTAAACAAGTAGAAAGCCTATCAATAGAATTCTTAACTAAACAAATGGAAATCCTATCTAATGTCCTATAGGAGTGCGTGATTTGCAACATAAACAGAGAGAATTCTCTAATCGGGTTTCTCTCCAGTTATATGGTAATTAGAGAATCTCCGGTTACTTCAATTCTTACATACCGTACCAATATAAAGGTCAAAGATGGAACACGTAAGATCCTAAATATTATCTTGAAACTCATTATTATCTTTAAGACTACTATCGAAAAAAAAACCTATATTGTGATAGTCAAAGGTCTAGGTGGTTTCACCTAAGACCTCAGGGTTGGAGTAGAATCTTGGAAAATTGTAACAAAACTAGCTACCTATATAAAGTCAAAATAATGTTAAATACGCACCTGCGTGGATCTCGCATCATCGAGCTAAGACCCCCCTCTCATTTCCTCCAAACTCGCGATGCCATCAGAAAATAGAGGCCCAAGATCAAACGTCCGTCGCTCCTCAAAGCCAAACTCATGCTCGCCATCCATCCCCAACTCAACCCCAGTCCACCACCAATCCCCACCCGCCACCGAAAATATACCCCGAGAAACTCTCGTAGCAGCTCCTCCTCCTCCTCCTCCTCCTCCTCTTATTTGTCGAGCGAGCCAATACAAAAAGAAGGAAAAGGGCGAATTTGTAATCTTGAAAGAGAGAGAAGAGGGAGGTCGATCTCGACGAAGGAGAGGATGCTGATGCTACAGTGTCTTTTCGCTGGGATCGTCGCCTCCCTCTTAGGGTTTCTCCTCCTCTCCAAGAAGAAGAAGCAGGAGAAGGGGAGTCCAAGAAATGGGGGGTCTTTGGAGCAGGTGAGAGGGCAATGCGGTGGGCCTGACGTCATCATCGTCGGCGCTGGCGTCGCCGGGGCCGCGCTTGCTTACACGCTTGGAAAGGTGACCCCTTTTGTACTGATATTTCTTTCTTTCTTTCTTTTTTTTCACGTACATATGCACCCCCAAAATCTACTGCATCTGCGAATTCACCCCAATTCTAACCCCTTGAGCTAAAATAACCTTTTGTATTAATTTCTTTAGGATTTGTTAATGCAATTGATTTGCACAAATTAGTGACTAATTCTCTAATGGAAACTATGGATTCGGTATTGAAGTGAGTTTCCTATTGCTAAATAATCACAGAAGCATGGCAATAGAAGAATTATTCAATGTGCATGGTTAGCATTCTTCTGGCAATATTTTTTTTAATTCTAATATTGCAAGCTAGAGCTTGTGTTTGGCTAAGGTTTGAAAGGGATTATGGAAAAGTTTTAAAGCTAGTTAATCCATTTCGTTTTAAATTAACTAATCCATCTAGTAAAAGTTTAACATTGTTGTGTGCTCCTCTTTGGTGCTTGTGGAGAGGAAATGTTATCATCCCTTTTTCATTAAATTCTCTTAATTGGTCTAAACTGGTCGTTGTAACCCTGGTCTTCTTCCAAATCTGGGATATTAAGACAAAATGACAAATTAATCTTGTCCATATGCACATTTTCTATGCTGAGAAATCCTAATCAGTCCAAGACAAAATAGAGAAAAATGGAAGAAGCCGGATCATTTTAGAATTTGGAATGAATAAAATATGGCTTAGATTTAAGTATTTAAAATTGTTTTGATCTGTTGGTTTGGAAAAGAGATATGAGTTACTGTAAAAAAGAGGTTCCTATCAAAGCTCAAATAAATGAGGATAACTATAAACATTCCTTATGGGATAGTTTGCATGCATCCATTAACAGACCAAAACTTCTGTCAGTTAGACGACGTAGAGGGCTGTTGTTGTTGAAGTTATTATGAAAAGAAAACAAAAACAGTTCCTTTCCAACCCCCACCACCCTTCAACCCCTCTGCTGCATTTTTCTTGAGAATCAAGTAGATTTAATACTTTACTTCATGAGAAAAATGTACTTCTATTATCACATTTTTTTGGGTAAAATATGATTAGGGATTACAGATGATTGTTCATTCATACTAAAACTTCATACGCATTTTCTTCTGCATAAAGTGTAGTAGCTGCAGTCATGGAGTTTGTTTGGCAAGGGCCTGAGACATACCATCTTATTGTTTGTAGGATGGGCGCCAAGTACATGTTATTGAGAGGGATTTGAGAGAGCCTGACAGAATCGTTGGAGAGCTTTTACAACCAGGGGGCTATATGAAATTGATTGAACTAGGCATTGCAGGTAAAAGTTCAGTTATGTTTAATTGCATCTATGAAACTTCTATGCATAATTACAATATTCACTTCTATTATCTTGTTGTTGATATTTCCTTTGCACTAAAATATCTCATTGATATCAAAATTCTTGCTTCCCTTTCAGATTGTGTGGAAAAAATTGATGCTCAGCGCATCCTTGGATATGCACTCTTTAAAGATGGAAAGGATGCTAAACTCACTTATCCCTTGGAGAAATATCATTCAGATATTGCTGGGAGAAGTTTCCATAATGGAAAGTTTATACAAAGGATGCGAGAGAAAGCTGCTACTATCTCCAAGTAATATTACAGTCTATATCCAAAGTTATTATTATTATTGTAGTAGTCTATTAAACAAATTTCAGCAACAAGTTATATGTTGTGAAAGGCTTTTGGCTTCTGATCATTGTACAGAGGATGTTTCTGATGGATCAGCCATAAAACAGTGTTGTTTACACATCTTGCGGGAATTTTCTATAAAATAAATTATAGACTATAGCTTATTTAGTCTAGAAAATATATGGCACTTTTGGTATTGGTAAAATGATCTCTTCATTCTCTATTATCATGTAAAAGTTTATTTAAAAGTATAATTTATTAAGAATAAATATTACACATGTGATGATGACAAGCGGGCAACAAGCTACACCGCTAATCCTTTCTGAATTGCAAAACCCAACCTACGAAACACGTACTCAGCGGACCCTGTTGTCGCCACATTCTTATTCATGAATTTCTGTAGTAGTCTATTAAACTTTTACAGTTGTTCCTTTCTTTACCCTAGGAATTTGACACAAGATATTTGACATAGTTTCTCTTTCTATTTTTAGTGTTAGGTTGGAGCAGGGAACTGTAACAACTTTACTTGAAGATAATGGCGTTGTCAAAGGGGTATCATACAAGAACGAAGCTGGTGAATTAAGAAAAACTTACGCACCGCTTACAATCGTATGCGATGGTTGCTTTTCAAATCTGCGTCGTTCTCTTTGCACGCCGAAGGTATCACTATGACTCACATAGTCCTAAACAACTTTTGCAGAACCAAAATTGGAAGTATTTCTCAGATTGAGATGATTATTGTCTATTATGCAGTATAAATGTAGGCAGATGATTTTTGTTTTCCTTTAGGCACTACATTCAATTCTAATTCTATGAAAATTTCTTCCTTCAGGTGGATGTGCCGTCCTGTTTTGTTGCATTGATATTGGAGAACTGTCAGCTGCCATATGCAAACCATGGGCATGTTGTCTTGGCAAATCCATCGCCAATTCTCTTTTACCCTATAAGCAGCGCAGAAGTTCGCTGCTTGGTTGATGTGCCCGGAAACAAGCTACCTTCTATCACTAATGGGGAGATGGCAAAATATCTGAAGACTGTGGTGGCACCACAGGTATACTTGACCTTGATGTTGGATTTGAATGATAATTTCACAGGCCTAAAGTTGCATTTATGTTGCAAATAATAACTATTATTATTCTATGGGGTTATTTAAATATTAGTCCCTCGGATCTTTGAAATTGCTCATAATTCCCTCAAATCCCTTGGGGTCTTGCAATTTGGTCCCTGGATAACCAGAATACCCCTTGGCTTATATTCCCCTAAAACCCCTCACGTTTGAAGAACATAGCTAAGGGGTATTTTGGTCATTGAGGGACCAGATTGCAAGGACCATTAGGATTTGAGGGATATATGAGCAGTTTCAAAGATTTGGACTATGATGAGATCATTGAAGATTTTAGGGACTAATATCTGAATAACCCCTGTTTTATAACAATCAATAGGCGTCACTTTATGCGACAATTGGGAAAGAGAATCTGCATCATACGAGCAACTAATTAGAATCTTACTATGGAATACTTTATTTTATTGTTTCAGCTTCCGAGTCAGTTGTATGATGCCTTCATATTAAGCGTTGATAGAGGAAACATAAAAAGTATGCCAAATAGGAGCATGCCAGCTTCTCCTCAACCCACACCAGGAGCCCTTTTATTGGGAGATTCATTTAACATGCGCCATCCATTAACTGGTGGAGGAATGACAGTGGCACTGTCTGATATTGTTCTTCTCCGCGATCTTATTAACCCTCTGCATGATCTACATGATGCTGCTGCTGTGTGCAAGTACTTGGAATCCTTCTACACTTTGCGCAAGGTTAGTCATATTTTGGACAATGCATGATTTTTTATATGGGTAATTGCACATAGACCCCTTGCTACCCCTGTAGTCTTATTATAGGCAATGCATGATTACTTTATGGTTAATTGCACATAGACTCCATAATACCCCTGTAGTTTCATTATTGCAGATAAACCCCCTGGGTTAAAAAATTTTGGAGTCTTTTATCCTTGGTGAAAATTTGGCAGATATTTCTCTTGGGTTGAATTAGTGATTCTATCTGAAGGTAAAAGAGTCAAAAAATTATAACCCAAGGAGTCTATCCGCAGCATTGAAACTATAGGGGTGGTAAGTTAAAGCAGCAATATTACAACTGGGCTATGTGCAATAAGTCAATAAATCCATTTTTTATAAGAGGGATTTCCAATGCCAGAAGTAATTGTGAGTTTATTTCATTTCATTTTTATTTTGTTTTCATCTCCTTGGCTTTTGCAGCCCGTTTCATCTACAATTAACACATTAGCAGGAGCATTGTATCAAGTTTTCAGTGCATCTTCTGATCAGGCCAGGATTGAAATGCGTGAAGCTTGTTTTGATTACCTGAGCCTAGGAGGTGTGTTTTCAAATGGGCCTGTGTCACTACTCTCAGGCCTTAACCCTCGTCCATTGAGCTTGGTTGCCCATTTCTTCGCTGTTGCTTTATATGGCGTTGGTCGTCTACTGTTGCCGTTTCCTTCATTTAAGCAATTATGGCTTGGACTTAGGTTGATTTCAGTAAGTAATTTATTTAAATTTATCACATTACATATAGCTACCATAAACGTTTGAAGATCTGAAAATTTCAAGCGCTAAATTGATAAATTTTCCAGAGAACTGAATTTTTCAGCTGAACAAGAATCTCCCTGGATTTCCCTTTCAAAGTAAACACTAATCTTTTTATGTGTATTGGGCTAGTATTGAGGTGTTATTATCATGTATATAATGCATATACTATTTAATTGCATGAGCGGGACATTTGAGACCTTGAGAAATGTGGAATTAGCTCTGCTATAACTTTTGACAATTCACACTTAAGGTAAAGGACAACATTTGGAACAGAATTTCTTGCACAACATCTCAAGGATAAGCTGTGAAGCTTGTATGGAATTTTTGTCACTATTTAATTGATAGAAAATGTCAATTTACAGAAGCATGATATAAACTATAGCATTCTTTTCCATACAATGCATGGGATATTCTTTTTCATCGTCTCCAACTTGTTGGCTCTTCTGTTGCAGGTTGCATCATCAATCATTCTCCCCATAATAAGAGCTGAAGGGGTTCGGCAGATGTTCTTCCCTGCAACTGTTCCTGCTTATTATAGATCTCCACCTACCCATATGAACTCTTAACAGTATTGAACAGTTTGGTGGTGGTATTTTTGACAGGTTATATCTCAAATGTACATAGTAGATTAGAGCAAAAGTTCTTTGTTGTTTCATGACAGATTAAAAGAAGAGATTGGGTAAGGTATTGTTTGGAATATGCACCCGATTGCACATATTGCATACTGTAGATAACCTGTTACATAATGCTGGTAAATTGTTTTGATTGCTAGTGCTGTAAAACATTTACCGGTGATAATTCAATTATTCTGTTAAGGTACAAGGCATCATTCGGTGTCGTACTATTCAGCAGACCGAATTCCTACAGAAATAGAATTTAGTTCTGCTTAAATTATCAATATTCGTAACTCTTCTGCTAGCCTAACGCTGCTGACATTGAAAACTTTTCTCCATTACCACTCTCCCATTTGATAGGAAAGGAGCTCTGGAACTTCCAGCCGATTATTTACGAAATGGTCGCATTCGAATGTTTTCATCAAAATTTTTGATTTTCCCCTCAAGCGTATAGACTAAATTAATGTATGGGTGGACAAGCTATAAACGATGACACCACAGGTTTGTATATCAAAGCTGATTTGATGAAATGGGACCAGTTGACCATTCGCAATAAGCACACTAATATTTACTAGAAAAATATTTTTAAAAAGAAAGATAAAAGAAGACAAAATTAAAGTTATTTCTATCAAAGAAAATGAAGGTACAAAGGAGTTTTTTGGGGGGTTGGTTTGGGGGTGTTTCTTCTTCTTTTTGTTTTAGGGGTGGGGGGGCTCATATTGTGAAGCACCAGAGTTGCAACATCCTATAACACCCATAAATATATAGTATGACCACGTACTTATATTCAGGATTAATTCCCCCAGAGTTGCAACATCCTATAACACCCATAAATATATAGTATGACCACATACTTATATTCAGGATTAATTCCCCCCTGCTTGAATAATAACGATAATTGCAAGAAAGCCAAAAACAAATACGTCGATAAAATCATACTTTGCTGATACATTCTTGCGTTACTATGTTTATCACGCTTGGCAAAAGCCTACAACAGTTTTTGATCAGGTAACTCTACCCATGAAACAAGACGCAACATCAGCTTCATATTTTCAACTCATTCTTATTTCCCTGTCAGAATATAATACATCTCAAATAATAAATGCAGTTGACTGTTACTTAACACGTGTCAGTCAGAATCAAGAGCATAAGCAAGATGTGAAAATCAAATGTATCCATATTTATAGCAGGGAGAGTCTCCCGTATCACCATCTATGAGACTACCAGAAGCTTATTTCTCCAGTGCAAGATAAATGCTGGCGGATTGTGCCTTCCAACTTCAAGTTGATAGGGTATACAACAGAGCTTCTTTTGATAAATGAAAGAGAGCTTTATAGGAACGCACATGCCACAAAGAATTGAGTAATATATACACCATATCATATACGATTTCATTGGGATCTTCCAATCACCATGAAAACTCTAGATGGAAACGAATCCACGCCGCTCGCACTCATATATAGGGAGGAGGCACAATCATCTATCACTTTATCTATGGTTTTTAGCCACTGCGTGCATGATCCCGTCAAAATTGATTGGCACTGAGAAGAAAAATGTTAAATCAACAATAACTTTAGGACCGTCCATTTTTCCTCTCTGATTTTATTGCATCATAAGAAATCATCACTTCTTTAAACTTTGCCTCGGCAGCCTCTGCAACAGAAATACTCATTGAGTCATAAAATGGAGGAAACTAGGTAGGACAAAAGAGGGAGAAGGAAAATAAAATAAAATAAAATGAAATAAAAATAAACTAAAAACATCAATTTAGTACTCACCTTTATTACCCTGGTTTTGATCAGGATGATATTCCATTGCCTTGGCTCAAAACATCAATTTAGTACTCACCTTTATTACCCTGGTTTTGATCAGGATGATATTCCATTGCCTTGGCTCTGAAAGCTGTCTGAGTACTCACCTTTATTACCCTGGTTTTGATCAGGATGATATTCCATTGCCTTGGCTCTGAAAGCTGTCTGCAATAGATTTTGGAATACTAATCAGCTTAGCCCATATGGTTGACATATTAGTTGATGGCTTGAGAAAATGACAATTGGGATAGCAGCTTAAGTAATGCAATCAACGGGCTAATCATAAAATACATCATATGTGATTTACATCAGCAATAGGGGCCATAATCCTATATGTTTTAAGTCGTAGAGTTGGGACCCTTGCAAACCGATCTACGCCTGTCTTCTCTATACAGGACCTACTCAGAGGAACATTCAGGTTAATATAACCGCAAGCATCACTAGAGAATATTTTCTGCCGTGCACAATAATGGAAAAAGTGATACTTTGTTTTTGCCCCACAACTAGGAGATTTTTGCATAACCAAGCCGTGATATAACTGCTAAACCATAGTCCCGAAGATAAAACATTAGTGAATAGTATATATATACATGAGAAACATAGGGGTAAGTTTCTAGTTCCTCTAACCACCACATATGTCTATAAAACAGCTCATGAAACTCTCAAAGACCAAGAGTATAGAGCTCAGACACTTCAAATCACAGAACTCGGGATAAAACCTTAGGATTTTTTAATATCAAAACATACCTGCTACAAAGCATTTCTATAAGCACATGTTTTATCAATGCATGTAAAAAGAGAGATGCACAATATAAAATGGAAAATATTAATAAATATCATTCGTAAAACAATTCACTAGGGGTTGGCAGCTTCGTCCGTGCTGTAAAAAAGGTAGATTAAGGGATGATAATTTTGCTATATAAGTGTGCAAGAAAGTTGCTTGTACTCTTCTATAAAGGCTTCATCTACTTTCCTCTGAAACAAAAATAACACTCCAACTAACTAGTAAGGGACTTATGGCTTTTACAGGAACAGCCTTTATTATGAAGGTAGCATCAGCTATCTGCCATGTCCCATACATGTCCAACGATAGAGTACGTGCCTTACCAGTGTCTAAGTAGAAGAAAATATCAGTAATAAATGTCCTTAGGCGTGTCAACAGTCCTTAGTGCCAGGTTCACAGCATGAAGACAAGGGAATTATTGACCATTAAAAAAGAACAAGAAAAATAGCTTACGTAATTAATGTTCTTAAATCACATCCTTCAAAATCCTTGAAGCCACAGCAACCGATTCAGAGTGTTGATTTCATAGGACCAAGGCAACTGACTAGCTTAATTCATACTATAATTACTGAACAACCTTATATTGATAATATAATTGACTATTACAAAACAAAAAAGCTATTATGCAATACTCAAGATATGACATTGTTTTCCCAAGACATTACCAACAATCAAAACATAGGACCATGAAGTAAGAAATAAATGATATATGTGAAAGTACAGCAACATGGAGAAAGAGAACATAGAACTGTTACCTTAATCTCCGCATCAGAGTACGGTTTCGTCCTACACCTACATATATGGGAGAAGAAAGTTAGATAAATCAAACACCTAAAGCTCAATAATACAGTTTCATGTAATAAAGGACAGTACTCAAGACTTACTGATAGTTCAAAGTGAAAGAAAGAAGTTACGATTTGCTACATTTTAAATTAGTCGAAGGAGTTAGCTGAAGGAGTTACTACTTGCTAAAGATTTAGAATAACTCAAGTTATTACTTACTACAGTCAAGTGACTGATATAAGTTGCAGGTGACAATCATATCTCATTCATATATTTGAAAGTCAACAGAAAGTAAAATCATTCTTTATCTTTACATATAATCCCTCCATCCATCCCTCTGTAGGGTACTCCTATACCACAAAGTTTCACCACTTTCTTCAGACAAATAACATGAAGTTCTCTTTTTGATAGATAAAACACCCCCAAAATTTACAATTTTTCACATGTGTGTGCGCGCGCGTCTATATATATACAGATCGCCATTATGTGTCTGCTTAATCTCTGCTTATGCAAGCAATTTCATGAGGATTCACTGCAGACAGGGGCTGCTGTCACAATTGGGTAAAGAAATAACAAACAATCCAGATGCAGAGATTCAGTTAAAAAGTTCTTAAAAGACAATATTCATCTTTACGGCTTCAATCTATATCTTTTTGGTCTATCTCTAATCAAGCTGCTCATCCAACTACAGATCCATGGCTCCTCCTAACTGCCATATCCACGTTACCTGTTATTTTTTCCTTAATTAGCTAATTGTCAATTGAAGCTACATAGTTCTTATGACAAGTTTCTTTCGAACTTAGGTACACATGGCATATTCTGGTTAGCAGCTTTACTTGTTTCAACTTTAAGCTATCAGGAACGACGACGGAAACATAACCGATGATATTCTAAACCAAAAAAGTTGCACGATTCCTATCAACTAGCTATTCTTACATGATATAATTTGATAAGATATATAACTGTAGATTTTCTGATTCAAATGTGCATCCATCTTCACAATTCTCTGCTGCAGATTTTCAAATCCAAACATTTATCTACATTCAACATCCCTCCCTTCTTCCAAAGAACTATTGAATATGTGTAACACATTCATCTTTACCATCAAAATAAATTGCATCAAAATAAATTGCTTCTTTGTTATTGCTTGTCTTCATTTGTAATGAATGGAATAAGTCTAGAGTTCTTTTTCAGTATAAGGTTTGGAGCCAGTAGATGATGAATCAGACAACCACAAATTTTGTGAGAATATACACAATGTTTAAATTTTGTTGAGTATTTAATCACAAAATTTACATTAGTGAAATAATGTAAAACTTGACAGGAAACAAGGGAAATCATATTCATGGGAAAAGTATGGTTCACGGAACTACATGCAAGACAAAATACCAATTTCTGAAGCTTGAAGTCAACGTAATGCCATCTTATGACCAATGCCTTAGAAGAACCTTAGATGAATTGACAAATATTTTTTCCTAAGTGAACGGAATTTAGCTTCTATCTTCTCTAGACAACCAAATTGAGATTTAGTAGTCACTAGGAAATTAGCTAACTACACAAAGATAGGTAGACGGTTCCCTGATTTGTTATGTCAATAGCATAAGGCTTAAGCTATAAAGCAAAACTCTGTATGCACAGTGCAAACTAAATATTGTAGGAGCAGAAATATGAAGGGTAACAACTGAAAAGAAGCCCTCTTGACTAACAAAGGAATCAATCCTTGGCGGCATGAAACATCACGTTCTGTGATAATTAAGCGATAGTTCGAAATGATAGTTATACAGGAAAAGGACATGCAGAAAAATCACCAGTACTACCTGTCGAGACCCAAAACTGAGTAGTGATGTGACAGTATATAGTTCCCACTGCCACTAGTAGTGGACCCGTAAGTAGTTCTTCTATCCTTGTACGATGTGTCAGTCTTCCAGTACCAGTCATCCCTTTGGAAATGTTGATATGTACCAGGACCATGCTCCTTCCAAGTTTCATAGGTCTTCTTCTGTTTGCTTCTCCCTCTGTTAAACACATTTTGCATTCGCCTTATACGCTCCTGGACAAAATAAGCCATCAGTATACACTTTGTACATTACGGAATATACATAAATAAATAAATTCAAAATAAGCGTAGCCTTCATCTGTAGTTCAATGCTGTGGTGGTAGCTCTAGAAATGAACAGATAACATTGAGGGAGAGGGAGATAAAAACATACTAATCAGCATTGGTGAAGGTCAAGTTTAAGCACATCCAAGATTGTCCAAAGTGGTAAATAAAAAGTGTCATAGTCAAGTATCGTCAAGACTCGTGAAATCAAGTTTTCACAATTTCAGGCCTTGTCCAGCAATAAATATTATCTGACCAATCTTCCACATGGGACATAAAATATCCATACTTGAGCAGTTCAACAATTAAAAAAAAAAGGAAGATGAGGTGAATTGTGGGTAGGAAGGCTACTTACTAAAGGTGTTAGGAGGACTAACATGCAGTGGCGGAGGCAGGATTTTCTTTCTGGCGAGGCCAAAATACAGCTACCATATTACAAAAAGTGTTCAAATATGAAAATTTATAACAAAGAGTCATATATGTAAGTAGGTGAACGAAGAACTTGGTTTAGAAGTTTTACAATACATACATACATATACATACATACATACATACATACATATGTATGTGCATACACACACACACATACATACATACATATATATTCGTGAATATGTGAATCACTTCAACATATCACACATCATGAATCAACATGCTCCAATATTCTAAAGTTTCTTTTGAGAAATATACTGATTGTAGTTAGTTTTTTTATTAATCACAAAGTACATTCAGACCTGATAGATTGACAATATACTATAGATCATTCAAGCTCACATATTTTATTTTTTAAATGTAAACTTAATGAAATTGGAAAAACCCCATTTCACAATTTCACCATAAAGTGTAAAACCACGTGAAAATATAATATTATTTCACAATTCTATTATTAAATGAAAAAATTTACATGAAAACATGAAATAGAAACTCATTTCAGATTGCTACAACCATAATAAAGAAAAACATGGAACTAAAATAACTTGCAAACAATAATCATATAGATGATGAGAATCCCAACATCTTCTACCAAAATGCAAACCCACAGCACCTGAGAAATGAGCTCACGAGAGATGTTCTTATATGACTTCACGAGAGATGTTCGTCATTGATGTTGCACACCAAAACTTGGGTAAAGTAGCCTTTCTAGCCCCAAAAATGGAACGTATTGACAATTTCTGTTGGAGGCTTTATCCTACAATTATAACACCTATGTGTGCATCAACCACTTAAAATAACTTTAAACTTTTTTTCTTAAATGGATATCGTACAATGTGTCATCTACATCTCGAATAAATGGATAAGACTCATCACATCATTGACAGGTCACATATACCCCGGAAGCAACACAACATGTTCAATTAACTGCAGATACAAACAAAAACACTCTTTTTTATGTTTAATTAACTGCAGATACAGACAAACGTTCTTATATCAAGGTCATCTCCATTTTGTGATAAATATTATCATACATTAATCAGTTGATGAGTGTACAATGACTAAATAATTAAATTATTATCACATCGGCCAAATATATGAATGATAAACTGCAAAGTGGAAGTAAAACAGAGACATAAAGTTTCAATAAAGGAGCATGTAGCAAACTAACCAGTCGCTCCATTTCCTCCTCATACTCCTCCTGCATCCGTCTGTTGTATCTATTCCATGCGTTACTACCCCGATTTGAAGTACTTGCTCCGCTAGTCCGTGATGAATAGGTGTGTGACTTGAGCTGTAAAGAAGGAGAGAAAAGATTATTCAGCAACACTGTAAGACTGTAGAGGCATAAAATATAGTATATATATGTCTTGGGGAAAAAACCAACAACAAGACAATAATACAAGAAGTAGGCTAAGCTCCAACTAGTTTCGACATTTGTGATTTAATGTAGGTGATTGTCCTTCTCAGATGAACTATTGTATCTGCCACATGTGTCCTTCTTAGATGTACTATTCAATCTGTCACGTTTATAGTAACGCAGATACGAGGTTTTGATCTTTAGCAATGGTAATGTTATATTTCCATTGATAAGATTAATGTTGTACTGGAAAATTTTCCAAAAGGGAAGCCTGCAGAAATAGATTTGAAGATTTCAAAATGAAATCATGCAGTCTAGGACCCAAGGTCTTTTAACATTTTTGAAAGCATATAAAGACCAAGAATATCTAGGATATAGTCAATGGTCAAAGCAAAATCAATTTCTATAATACAGTAATAAGATTGCAGTCCATGAACTTTACTGCCACACCATTAATTGATAAACCATTACATGTGAATTAGCTTCATATGACACTGGGAAGACCCTAACAATAGAAGTACAGAAGTACATGATAAAGGCCTATAGTCAAAATTTACCTGATTATAGATCTTATCAATAGTTGTCCGCAGCCGACCAGCCTGCATGATTGCCCAATAAAACAAAATAAAAAACATAAGCAATAACTGTATACCATATAAGCAGTGACAATAAGAAGTTCAAACTTTACAGAACTTGTAAAGTAAGTCACAAAGCCATGAACCAATAGAATATTAAAAACCCTCGGTTCAAGATCATGCACAATGCATTATTCGATTAAAATGTGGAGTTTCCTTAATGTTGTTTTCTTCATCTAGTTTTGCTTAATTGCTGTGTGCAAGAGCATGTCATCTTAAATTAAGTTGTCCATCAGACTTTAATTGTAACACCCCATGTCGTCGAGACCAGAAAATGATTCCGTAATCGATTTCCAATGAAGAGAGATGAATAGGTTCCTTTTTGTTTATTAGTTTAGACATATCTCTGTGTTTTAGTTATTAAAATATTTACAAGGGTTTATATGTTAAAACACCTAAATTAGTTTTAACTCAAGAGAGGTCAACCTGTTAAGCCTAAAATCCTTGTATAAGGCCTAGATAACCCTAAAGGTCAGAAATTTCAGATTTTAACACCTACAAGGCTGGCCAAGCTTGGAGAAGGAAGAGGAGAGTTTTTTCAATGTCCGTTCTTCATCTTCAAGATCATCCTTTCAGAAAAACCCACAGACAAATACCAACTTGCTTTTTCCGCCTTTTGGTAACTAAATATGTTCGAATTCCTCACGTTAAGCGTATTTGATCCATCATGATTGTTCTATCTTATCGTGATATATTTATCGAGTTTATATCGATGTTTCGGTGAAAAACATGCACTTATATAATTTCGACCCTAGAGGTATAGAACTCCAATGAAAACTTGTAGCCCATCTTTCATATGATTGGTTTTGATTAAGTACTGTGCCAAATTTCGTTCAACATCTGTATAACAAGTTTTGACGATGTTTCAGCAAGATTTTACAAAACCTAGATGACAAATTCATTTTTTTATCAAATCTATAATCATGATATGTATGCCATATATGTTAGTTTTGTGTTCTCACGTTGAAAAAGTGTAGATAAATATCTCTAGGTTGACACGAGAAAGATACAAGTAAACCCTATGTTAAAATCCAAAAAATCTGTTGAAATCCCAGTTTCTGACGTCTGGTGTCCAGTTCAGATGTTTGGATGGATTTTTTAGACGTCTCTGTATCGATTTTCTAAAAATTGAGTCTCTATCATTTTGAGATCAGATATGTCTCAGACGTCAGACGTTGGGCTCGAATTTTAGACGTGGACAAGATGTCAGACGTCGGGTTTGAATTTCAGACATCTGGTGAGATAATTCAGACGCCTGAAAACGTGCATAGCATGTTTTGTTTTATTTTATAAGTCGTCTGACCCTGTAACTTCTTCATATGACTTCCAATGGTAATGAGACTTTGTGAACACATTTGTTATTATGTTTTGAGTGTGTTCAAAGTTTTATTTGGTATTTTAAATTACGTGTTGATAATTACCCGGCTAAACCAAAAAGTCTGAAAATATAATTTTTTTCATTGAATTTGAATCTCTAGCCTAAACTCATTACGAAGTTGTTATTAATATGACAATGAGTTTCTGTGCAAGGGCTATATGATTTGGTGACTCTTGTGAAAATCGTTCAGCTATTGATGATAATAACTATGCCCGTTTAGATTACACATGCAAACCACGAGAACTAGAAGTTTAAATATCAAATGTTTGCCTCGATCAACGAGGTAAGCTTTTAACTGAGATGGTGGTGGGCGCAAGAGGCGGGAACTTGTTGCATATGAGATTGTGGATATGATACGTTGAAAAGTGAAAACATCGTCGAATAGTTAAAACCTAATTTTACCGAACTCTTCGAATTTGTATATTAAATGCTAAGTATTGAGTGATGATGTGTAAAATGTGAGTGTGGGGATTTGCATCCTCCATGCTTTTGTGTTTGATTCTCACTCGATAATTAGGTGTGTAATATAGAAAATCTGAGATTAGACAACATCGTGTATAATCACACTAAAAATGAGTTGATATGAAAATACTGGGTTTAATTGACGAGAATAAATAACAAATTGGTTTTTTAAGATGTGAGATTTATTTTGGCCACTTTGATGAGGTTGTTTCCGGAATCTTGTAGTAGATTGCCGAGTTGTGATTTTCTCGTCCATCTTAAATTGACCAATATTATTATTTGATCTCAAACAACATAAAACCGATTTAAGTATGTCAGGATTTTGCAAATTGATTTAATATAATGTGTTTTTCTATATATCAATGTTTTGAAATTTCAAAAATACTGTAAGCTAATTATGAGTTTCGACACATGTTCCTTTTGAGAGATACGAGTAGGAATGTTCTGACATGAATTTGAGAGTTTGTTCTGAGATTTATACTTGCTCTATTTGCTTATCTTTTTGTATTCCCTATGTTACATTAAACGTTGGGCGCTTCTAGGCGTCGGACTTGACGCCCAGCGCTTAGTCGTCTAGGCGGGCGTCTAAGCGGTTTCTGAATGTTTTTTTTTTTAATTGTGATACTTGAATATATATATATATATATATATATATATTCAATCAAAGATGCATAAATAATAAAAATGGCTTATATAAAAGTACTGGTTTTAATTGGGGAGAATAAATAACAAATTGGCTTTTTAAGGTGTGGGATTTATTTTGGCCATTTTGATGAGTTTGTTTTCAGAATTCATATTATATTGCCGAGTAGTGAGTTTGTCGTCCGCCTTAGATTCACCAATATTATTATTTAATCTAAAACAACGTAAAACCAATTTAAGTATGTTAGGATTTTGCAAATTGATTTCGCATGCTTGTATGATATAGGTATATACACATGATGTTAACGTAATGTGTTTATGTTTCTGTGTATCAGTGTTTTGAGATTTCTAAAACACCCTAAGCTCATTATGAGTTTTGATACATGTTCCTTTTGAGAGATACAACGAATAGGAATGTCCCGACATGAACTTGAGAGTATGTTCTGCGATTTATACTTGCTCTATCATGTATATCTTTCTATATTCCTATTCAATCCTTTCTGTATTCCTATTCAATCCATCATATTATCTCAATTTTTTAATCGCTGATGAATATCACTTTTGAGCTTTCTTTCACTTGATTTATTTGTATAGCGAATTACATTGTCACTAATACGTCCTTCGGATCCTATCCTTTGGAGGTACTTGCTATTATATACTTTCACAGATTTGCCTTTGTTGTTTTTGCATTTTTCTTATCCTTTTTAGGTGGTTAGAATATTCTAGAGCAAAGAGTTGGTGGAGCTAGGAACAATGGATATACAGATATATGTTGTTTGGTTTTGGTTTTAGAAATAAATTACAGCTTCGAATATTTTTCACACAAGACCACGTTTTAAATGAATTTATATATTCCGCAAATCCATTTGTGAAAAGAAGTTTTATGCAGATTAGAGAATTAAGTATATCATTTGGATTCGGTTGTCCTCCAAGCGGTGTGTTGTTTGCCTAGTCACGTGCCGTTTAGGTCTTGGGGCGTGATAATAATTGTGACAGAGAGAAACATGACCTACAATAAAGAGAGATTAAGAATAATGCAACTCAGCCTCAATGAGATTTGACTACGGAACAAATTTGTAAATGTCAATACGACTAAGCAGATGTTCTGTTTAATGATAGTAAAAAACTGACTGAGGCTTCTTGTTAAGAATTCAGCTTTTGGGGTTCAAAACATCGAATGTGCTCACTTCAAATTTAGTGCTGCAGATTTTCTGGTCTGATTCTGACATCCCAGCCTATAAGGAAACAATCCAGTCATGCCTACAGCCTCCTATAAGATAAGTGGTTGCAATTTACTATCATTGATATCTTTTTCTTCTCTGTAGAACAAACACATGTTTCGGTATGAATGACAGAGGTGTCGTAGCACCCTGCTATCTGATTGCAAAGAAATGTTTCCATCTGAAAGATGGAAAGAATAAAGAACTTGAATGACAGAGGTGTCGTAGCACCCTGCTATCTGATTGCAAAGAAATGTTTCCATCTGAAAGATGGAAAGAATAAAGAACTTTAACCGACTAATGAACTCTAGTAAGAAGTCAAAAGAATTAGATAAATGACTTCACTGATAACTATTCTGGCACTATTTCTTATTAATCAAATCATGCAGTAGTCCATGAATTTTAACAAAAGCAGTTCTATCCTCATGACTTCTACAAAGTACATGATGTCTTGAGATATGTAACACCAACCTATCATCCCATAAATCTAGTTTTTGGCTTACTGCATCTCCATCACTGAACAAAAACTACACAGTAGAAAAACAAATTCAGCAGAGTTGAACAAGGAATCAGTCAAGCATGTCACCTTTTACTCAATATGATGTGTCAAAAACACACTTTTCTTCATGATTCTAACAAGAACAGTTCATTGATGATTCCTTTGTTGGGGTTGAACAATCGACAACTTGTGCCCTCCGGATCTTGTAACGAACAATTAGCAAGCAAGAAATCACAGCGAATCGAAAAACTTGCATGAAAGAATAAATAAAAGAGAGAACACCAGATTTAACGAGGTTCAACAAACGTGCCTACGTCCTTGGGAGCCACACCAGAAATTCTTTGATTATTGAAGAAGATTACAAAGCTTGCAATAGGTCTCTCTCTAAGATCTCTGATCTCAAAGTGCTCTCAAAACCCACTCTTTTCTTTGTACATACAGCCCTAAAAACGTTTAAGGATATATATATATATATATATATATATATATATATATATATATATAATCCTAACTCAAACAGGTTTTCAAACTAGCCAGGATTCTATTTTAACCGCTATCGGTCGATCGATACGAGTTATCGGTCGACTGACCAGAAGGTGTTTTGTCTCAGGATTGCTCGTGCACATTATCGATCGACCGATAATTTGTATCGATCACCGAACAAAGACTTTCCTGTTTTCCTGGCGTTCGAATCAGTCGATTGATGTTCCCTTTGGTCAACCGGTCTGGGTTTTTTTAGCTTTTGATTTTGTTCCAGGTTTGG